ATATATATATATATATATATATATATATATATATATATATATATACGCATTCTCTTTGTTCGCTATCAAATCGTGGTGAGAAAATTTTTTAGTTGTGTCAAATGTCAATGCTCTTGTCGGCGAGCACTTATTAATCGTGCAGTTTATATGGGCTAGACCCAGTGCAAGAAATGCGATAGGAAAGATATCAGTGGAATGCAATTGCGTCAAAAAAGTTATGTAGCTAAACAAACAACAGCAAAGGAAACGTGTCATGTATGACTTGTGTGGACGTATTGGGTTAGAAATAACAGTGTGCAAGCCCTAATTGAATTTGAATAAAGTCAGAGCCCTTCGACTACCGGTGCGTGTTGACGTACTACTGATTTCAGTTCACTTGTTAAGTATTTCAACTACCGATTCTAAGACCAACAATTTTTTTAGCACTGAGCCCTAAACTATGGTGCATGCTGGTTATATAGTTAATGAATCATTTCAGACATTTGTAAGATTTGAAATTCTCAAAGATTAGGGCATGGCATATGTGAAGGTTAACGCAGACAACTCGTCCACACATTACCAAATCTTCGTCTGTAACAGAACGAACTTCTAACTTGTCGTTTGCCTTCTTTAGCAAACTGTTTGGGTGATGGAATGGCTACTGTTTAGGTAGTTAGATAAAGTGCTCAATACGAATACGCCAGCAATTGCATCGAGAAAACGATAAAGGCCGAAATCGACGTCGACTTTGGAAAAAAGATAACACACTAATTTACGAAAAATAAAACCACCTCTACCGACACGAAAACCTTAATTATGAAGCTTCATTAAATATATGCATGTGAGATTTAACTCTAGTCAAGTAAGTTCCATAGATAATCTGTCTCAGGTTTCCTCTTCCAAGATTTCTTCGTCCAAATTTTTTCAAAGTAAAAGATATCGAACAGATGCACATATTTGCTTGAGCAAGATATGAGTAAAAGGGTATCGAAAACGCTCACCTGAGTAACAACAGACTCTGCTGAAGCTGTCAAACCAGCGAATCGTTCAAAAAACTCGACTATCTGAACAAGTCATGACATTCACCAAGTAAAAGCCGTCTGTTTTCGTTGAGTAGCACAAAATCTAGTAGAAAGTGAATTCAAGATAGCAAACGATACCTAGAAAGCGGATAGCACAGTGGAAGGAATGTCCGTTATCACGAACATGGTGCTCGTTCGATTGTGTCCTGGGCCAATCAAGCCTTTCACATTTCTGGAGTCGAGAAATTGGTACCGGACTTGTCTGGGAAAAAATTCACTCTCTGTGATCCAATTGCGAACGCTTCGCACTGCTATGTCAGGTCTCCACGGAGAATTGCTCGACCAGCATTCTACGTTCAAGATGAAATGAAAATCCTCAAGAAGGAACCGAAGCCACACGTAAGAATTTGGAAGACCTTTGTTGAAGATGAATGCGAGAAAACGAATTGGATGTAAGTGTTGGGATTAGCACAGTAAAGGTAAAGACGGATCAAATAAAAAATAAAAACGATACGTACTACATATCTTTCCCATCTACTTAATAGAAAAGGAAGAATTGGGATCAATTATTCTTGCTTATTTTGGTATTATTTTTCGTCTGCTTCTATACAAATCATAGAATATATGTCGTTCCAGCTCTCTAACATTTCGAATTTCGACATACCATTTCTGTTGTGCACAATCCTATGCCAAAAATTCAAGCTACAATACCTAATGAATCTCACTTCAGTCCTCATCAAACCGCCGACTTAGCTTTTCACACATAAATTCACAGTACGAGTTATTTAGAAATCACAGGGGCCTTGTCGTCATACAGAAGGGAGATCTAAAGACGTTGAATAATAGTATTCAGCTGGTCTGTGGTCTATTATATCAACTCCTAATTCACACCTAACATAATAGACCGACAACTGGACGTGAGAAGGATAGGAACGTAATCAAACAGGGTTTAGGTACAAGTATATGCTGCGAATATTTTTCCATATATAATTCGCATGCAATAAATCATACCCTGACCATAACGAAAATAACCTAAGTATCACAGGGTTACAAGAGACCAAATCCATTTCGTTGGCTTAGATAAGTTCGAAAAGGTGAGACAGTGGCCATCGATAAAGATGAGGCTGGCGACGCGTTCCTGCTCAATGCACAAGGGACATGATGAGCCATACTGCAACGCCACCATTAGGACTTCGTCATTCCACAACGCACAAAAATGAAAAGTAGTGAGTACGTAGTTAGACCCAACGAAGTGATATCACTTCCAGAATTATTCTACGTCGCATTCAAAACGTTATGCGAAATTGATATGGAGTAACATAGAGCTGACAGCTGATAGCTACATTATCGCTCCTTTGTTGACCATATTTTTCCCACATGTAACACCAAGAATTAGTCGGGACAAAGAACGTTGGCAAACGGCGATAAGAGGCGTATGGAATAATCGACCTTGAACCTAAACGAATGAGATGCGTTTCCGAAGCTTCATTCACGCCCAGTAAAACGAACATCTCTGATTTCTTTGGTTTTCTAAAAGCTGAGTTGAAAGTAAATGTGATGAACGGAAAGCTCCAGTGTTGTGCACAAGCAAACGAAGTGATTTTGAAGCTTTCGTTCATCAAGGATGAACGAATTAAGGACAATGAAATACATTGAGAAGATTCGATTATGTGTCCTCCTCTTTGACTTTACTTTCTACCCCTATTTACTGCGCAGAAACATTAGTGTTACACAAGAAGGATAAAACAGTAGCTAGTACTATAGTAAGGGCGATCGCCAAACCTCAGAAACTCGTAAATCAATACATTCGTACGTCACAATCGCTCTTAGCGACAAAAAAGAAACCAAGAACCGTAAAGGGCTGCCTAAGCGTGCAATAGCAAGATCATCCCGTCCAATTTCGGGACTTTTTCCTAAGGAGAGAGAAACCTTTAGCGAGAGCGGACTGGTCAACTCTGGAGCATGCGAGGAAAGCCAGTGAACAGTTTATCGAAACAGATCCAAGCCATTCAACGACTTATGGTAGATAAATTAAAAACCCAAAATCAAGTTTTCAACTTAAAAAAACGTTGAAAACCGTGCCTTGTCCATGTCGGCTCTTTGTTCAGGGTCCTTGTTCCACATTTTCTCCTTTACAAATTTGATCAAATCATCCGGGGTGCCAACCGGGAACACATTGAATTCTCCATCTACTATCTGAAGGAATTCGAATAGCACCTATTTCGAATGGAAACTGTTTTCACAAATATTCGCTCTTTTTTATAAGTATGCTTTTCTTTGTACAAGTTACGAGGATTCATGATGCTGTTTCGTCATATAGGCGAAATCGCTCAGGATATAAATACTACGTGAACTGTAAAAAGTTGAGAATAATATCACCTCAATAACAATCTTGAGAACTTATGCAATGTTCGATGTGTCTTTATTGGCTTCTTCTTTGTGCTTGCCAAACTGGTTTCTTTACTTGCATGCTACTTAGTTGTTCAAATGCTTATAAAATTAGTGGAGAACAAAAGCTGGAATTAACCACCTTTTTCCTCACAGCTCCAGGACCGATCTCAGTATACGGATCTTGAGAGGAGTAAATTTCGTATATAAGTACCTAAAAAGCTAAAAGATTATTTGTTCAGATAAAAAGTACTGAATGAATTGTCGTCACCCCAAATGAATAAACATCTGTCTTTCTTGTGAACATGAAAGTTGCGATGCTCTCCGGTGCCATCCATCGAATCGGCATCTTCTTTGACGTCTTCATTTTATATTGGACACCAGTTCTTGACAATCCGAAGTCCGATATCTTCACCTAAATTGATGTGAAACAAAACTAGGTAAAAACTGACTATCGTGCTGAATGTTGACGCACCGCAGAATCCTGATCATACAGGCAATTCCGTGCTGCGATATCTCGATGAAGTATGTTCTTCTTATGAAGATGCTCAATACCCCATGCTGCTCCCAGCGCCATTTGGCTTCTCTCCTCCTTTGTTATAAAATCCTTGTTCTTTCTCAAATACGACTTCAGAGCACCACCTGGTTTGTAAAAAAAAGAGTACTTCTACCACCGATGCAAGTATTTCTTCCTAATTTTTTGGTTGGAAGCCAAAACTGTTTTTCTAAAGTGCTGGTGTCATTACGCCATCGACCGGTTTCTGAACGAAGGTGCTCGTTACCGTTTTCCTAATTTTTAACCTTAGACAGAGGTCACACTAGCAGCATTATATTATCTTGAGTATTGACCAATAATTCGCCTTCTCCAATTATTAAGCTAACACGAGGTTAGTAAAAAAAAAAGTTGTTGGCTTAACGTTTCGGCGACTTTGTTTTTTTCAAAGCCGAATTTGTGTGAGCCGATGACCCATGGGCGGTCCTCCTCGCGATGTGATTATTCTTTGTTCCTTTCAATTTTTCACTATTATCTTACTGAGTAGACATGACTGCGTTTTGTTTTCTTTAGACGAGCCGTCTTTCATATCTACTATGCGGATCTCCGCATTTCTTGCATTCGATTCATTTGCTTGCATCCAACATCCAAGGTCTTCCTACTTTTCGCTTGTAGGATCGGCTACTGCTTGAGAATTTTCTTTTAGTCGTGTATATCACTGAATTGTAGTCGAGGTGATCTTCTCTCCAGCTCTGAGAAAGCCGAAGTCGAGGTTCCCACTTGGATTGCAGATATTAAACTTTTCTGAGACAAGCCTGTTACCAATTTCAGGACTCCGGTTGGAGGGCAGGCTTTATGAGCAGGTGGAGGGACTAAATAAGTACTGTGCTCGTAATATTTGGTACCACTGTTTGGTATGAGCCAAACACGTTCATAACCTCAGTAGATAAATGTTAGTGCATAAATTTTCGCATGAAAATTTTCTAAATAGGAAAGTTATGTATTAAGATTTACCTAATGAGGGTGTACTGTTTTGCTGAGTAGGTTGGGTGGGTTGGGTGTCAACCTTTCTAGGCTTTAAAGCAGTCGAAACTGCAGAAACTTCAGCTATTTTGGATAAATAGTGTAATATGACAGCTTCGCCTCTACTCATCAAGAAAACAGTGAATAGCAGATAGGGGCTCGATTATAGGTAAAATGTATGACTGAGTAGATGACTTGGATACCTGCCACATATTCCAGTAATATACAAAGTGGACGTTCCAGCACACCAACGCCGTATAGTTTAACGACATTCGGATGATTTAGCTCTCGCATCAGTCTGGCTTCCTTCATAACTTCTTTGATTATTTCTTTCGAGATCTCAGCGCAGTCCATTTTGCACTGAAAATAAAGAATGAAATCGAAGTATCCTACTAAATAGCATGTTTATGAATTGTTTTCACTATTCTGCATTAACGCGTGTGGCGCAGTGGTCCGAGGCGCTCTGCAACACACACGTGGAATCGACCATCGTGCCTATGGCCCACCAAGCCTTCCATCCCTCCAGGTTCGGCAAATTGGTATCGGACTTATCTGGCAGGATATGAGCACTGGCTTGATACATCGGTAGGCCACAGCGAGTGTAAATTTGTAAAAGCCAGCTATGCAGTCAATCACCTCCAAACGATGCTTAATGAAGTCGTATGCATAACGCATCCCTCAGGGAATAATCAACGCCGAGAGCTTTTTTTATTCTGCATTAACGCTAGTCGTGATATTTTAGAATTAATGGCTTTTGAAAGGAGTCAAAATTCGGTCTTCTATTTACTTACAGATTTTATAGCAACGGTGACCACAGTGCCAGATTTCAGCTTGAGTGTTCCTTTCCGTACTTCACCATATTGGCCTTTACCAATGAGTTGCCCGACGTTTACGTGCTTATGTTCGAATTCCCATTCTGTTAAGCCAACACCACGCGTCAGTGATATCTCCTAAACAGTGCCAACTTCAAAGACAATATTAAACAGCAGTGCCATTATAAATTATATCCTTCCGCTTCCTTCACTTTCATGGACAAAATGCGAACATTACCATTTCATTAGCAGTTTCAATGAACTGACTACTTTCAGTTTTGCAATCCGATGCAATTCTTTAACCGTTCGACCACCCACCGTCCAGCGAATAGGATCCATAAGCCGTTGTTCAAATTGAAACCGATGTTTACTATGCAAATTGGAATGTCGATAAGTTCGAGAAATGATTCAATTAGCCAGGCTATACGAATGCAAACCAATGGCTATGGTGGACAACTTGGTAACTTCTTCTTCTAATTGTACAACGCGCACTAGGGCGCGTGTGGCGCAGTTGTCGGAGGCGCCCTGCAACACACGTGGAATCGATCCCTGCGCCTATGGCTCATCAACCCATCCATGCTCCGCAAATTGGTACGAGATTTGTCTGGGAAGATAGCAGCACAGGCTTGATACATTGGTAGGCCACCACGAGTCACTGTAAATTCCAGATATGCCTTCAATCATCTCCATACGATGCTTAATGAAGCCCAGTGCGTGGCGCAATCCCATAGGGATTGATCAACGACGAAAGCATTATCTTTCTTTAATTATACAGTGCAACGTTGTTTCCGACGTGGTGTGATATTCACGCTCTAAATGATTCTTCATGGCTAGGCTAAATCAGTAACATTTTGTATTTTCTTACTTTGCCTCCTGAATTCAATTTTTTGTGAACACTCCCTCTAATAATAGACATATCATTTAACATTCTCTCCTTCTCATTTCTTCTTCCTTTAACTTCCTCGGTTGTTGATCATTTTCTTCTCATTTGTTGTGATAAAGAACGGGCTCTCGTTATCTTGACTATTCAAATATTCTGCCAGACGCCTCAAACACTATAGTTAGCGATAGGGTTCCACCAATTACGCATGGAGGAACACCAATTGAAAAGTGGACATCTGGGACAGACAGCGATAAAAGCTTTTTAAAATCATAGTGTCGCACCTACTTTAGGTTACTTCTAACACCGCAAGCGTATTCAGTGAACAGCTCACCTTTTCGTTGATGATTAAGGGATTCTTCATATGATGTTGGAACAACTCAGCAGCGGTTTCGAACTTGTGCTTCGGATCAAGAAATGTTTTTCCGGACTTCACATGAATTATAAGATTGTGGACCTTCAATAAAAAAAACCTTTTGCTGTATCGTAGTACTGCATTTAGGGAATTACACTCCAACGTTTAAAGAGAGAAGTAGCGAGCGTTTCCACGGTTAAATCTTTTTACATCTGCTTCCATACACATAAAAAACCAAGATCTACTTTGTAGACTGTCAGCAGTCATATGAGTGCGAAACCTTCAGTGAACAACGAAAATCACAGTCTTAGCCGTCTTAACCTTTTTTACTTACTGCCTGGTCTTTTTATTGGCAGGATATTTTGTGGAATAAAACTTTTATGATGCTGAGATATTTGCAAAACTCCGGACTGCAGGTGTCTATGGTGGGAAACGAAACGCGTTACTCCCAGGAAAGGATAATAGCGAGTTCATTCCCCATCGCAGGCACCTTAGGTTGGGAGTTTTGCAAATATCTCAGCATCATAGAAAATCACAGTGTTAGCCTAATATTTGGTTCCCACTATAATTTTTTTCAATTATTTCAAACTATAATTTTGGTAAAATGCTCGAAATGCTTCAACGTAGGTGACTAATATATATCCACAACGGTGATGAAAAATTCAATGTAGTAGAAGAGCGAATAATTTACGTTCATCGCTGTGGTTAGAAGGGCCATGTAGTACAAATGCGACCGATCCCACGTCCTAGGCTCACCAAGCCTTCCATTCTTCCGGGGTCAGAAAATTGGTGGAAGGCATGTCTGGCAGACGACACTGACTTTTTGCATCGGTAGGGCATAGCAAGTTATTTTGTAAGAAATATACCACTTAGTCACTCCAAATCCTACACCCGGATGCTTTATGTATCGTCTACCTTTTTTCTATACGTATACGTATTGCTTACTTGAAAAACAGTTTAGAAAAATACCGGAATCTTCGAAAATATTTGTTAAAATCTCGATTTTTTTGAAGCTTACTATCAGTGTCTTCAATGAAGTTTCCAGTTTCTCAACTGTGATGCTTTAGGGTATGGGTTCAGAAACCAGCAGCGGCAGTAAATAGTAGTGGCAATTAATATCGCTAAAACAATAAGCTTGATTGCCTAGAGCAAACGCCTGAGGCCTGATTTTGGGCGGTGGTGGTAGTGGACGACTCCTAGTTTTAGGTCGGCTACAGGTTTCTTAATCTCTTCAGCCTTTGAAATAAGGTCACCGCCAGCACATAGTAAACGAAGCTGTTCTTTCGAGAGGAGACGACTTCCGATACCGAGAGAACATGAGAAGATAGGAACTTAAAGTACTCCAGAAGAGCCCTCCTTTGTGGCTCTAAGCGCCTAGAATTTACTACCATATCCGCTTCCTTGTGACGCGTCCTTAAATTGCTTAAATTTTCAAAACTATTTTTCCTTCGCGATAGTGGTTAAGGATTTTGAGAGTTTTCTTCAAAAATATTGCTCACTTTTCAAAATTCAGTTCTAACCTTACAGCAGCGCAAAACTCTGGTATGCGACTGGTTCGAGAACTAATAAAATCGAGAACTATTGGACTATCATTAAAGAGGCCGACTTTCTAAAAACTTCAGCAAAATAGTTGATATATTCATCTATATGATCTTATAAACTGGTCTTGTTGAGCTGATGCTTGGTATAAGCTTTCGTTGTCGTTGTTGTTGTTGCTGACGTTGTTGCTACTGGTGTAGTTGGTTGATGGTTAACGTTTCAGCGATTTCGCTTTTTCCATAGCCGTGTTATTGCGAGCAGCCTCACTCGTTTGTGCTAGTCGAATTGATTCTTGTTGGAATCGTTGGGCAACTGTGCTGGATTGCTTCCAGGTCTTTCCCATAGTAACCAGTCCTTGCCGATCTCATAGAGCTCTTCCCACGTAAGACTGGCACCAATTGCTCGACACCGGAGAAACAGGAGTCTTGGTTTGTCACATTCAGGGCCGAAGCGGGGCGGACTGAATAGCAAATCTATCACTGAGGGACGCCACCGCTCATTGTTCATATGTGTTATACTAAATTTGTACTTGAGACGGAACGACTATTCTTGAGACCTCATGGAAATGGACCACACTGAAGAATGGTGTCGAGTTGCATCCTGTGGTTGACATCAAATGTGTAGTTGTTTCGATATCTTACGCAAGAAATTATCTACGAAGTCAACAAATTCCGTTGCCTGACTGTTGCTCACCTATATTATATAGCTATTATAGATTCAAATCGTCATCATAAAGTTAGTTAATAGCGTGATCAATGTTAATGTTACCATTTCTAGTCGTTCTTGCTCGGAAGATTTTTCGTAAATATTCTCGGGATCGAGTATAACGCATATGATTGGTGAAATCTTTCGACGAACTTTTTTCGATTTCGTAGTATATTCTGTCTGAAATGAACAAACTTCGTTACCAATAAATCACAGAACCCAGACAGACGTTCTGTTAACCTGGGCATTGATCAATAAGTCATTGTTCTTCTTAAGAAAAACAGGAAATCACAGACCAACTGGAAACCAAATGCTCGAAAATTCAGTGACAACGGTAGATCTACGTTTCCGCAATCAATAGGCATGATTTACACAATGCATGCATAGTTATTTGCATTGTGAACTAAAGCTTCGACAGAATCCTACATCCTGGGAAAGAACTATGATTGTAACATTGATGCTATTCGATTGATTTGCTACTAAACGCACACTTGACAGACCAACTAACAATTAAGCTTGCGTCACTTAACAAATTATTTTGCTCTTACGACTTGTCTTTGGTGAACAGACACGTGATTTTTAACACGCATTTTTGATCTTCAATGGCTAACGTCTCAGCGATTTCGTCTTTTTCATAGCCGTTTTCGCATCTGGTGAACGAGACCACTTGTTGATGCTCATTCGTGAGGATATGCACAAATGGGTTATGGGAGCTTGAATCTCGTATCCGCTGATCAAGAACAGTTCGTAGGGATAAAATAAGTGCAGATTACTATGTGATAAACAAGATATGATTACTGTTGCGTTCCCTGGAAGTACAGCTTTACAAAGATCCTTTGCATCAGTAGATGAACAAATCGAGACATCATTATTGTCGTGATATTTAGGACGTCCAAATGAAAACAGTTCAGTTGCACAGGTGAGTAATAAGATGGTTACTTCATTTGGCAGCATGATTTCTTCGGCTACCGAACATGATTATATTTCTAGGATAAATTGAAAATCCAAGCTTGTAGTAATTTATTAGTGCGTTTCCGTCAGGAAGTCCAGATAAGAGTAAGCCAATACCAGGGTCCCCCACCGTCCTTGCATCAAACTAGTTGCATAGTGGCAAATTTCCCCCTCTGATCGACAAGTGCAGCGACTGCCTGTAGTGGTGACGACCTGCGGCGGACTTTGGCTAGGTTGCCCTCGAGACTCCAGGGAACCAAAATGGCTAAGCCAGCAAATCTCCGGAGAATGAAAATTGTGCTGGAGCTCGCACAACCAGTGAAGGTGAAGACAAGCCATCCGAGTATCCAAGTATCAAGGTTGGTAATTTAGTACTTTAAAGGAAAACGCGTCTATGGTGGTAAATCTTCCTTTAGCCGCCTCAAGATCATACCAAGAAGCGCTACGTACACCAAGCAGCTCATTATTTGGGCAAAGACGCTGAATTCTTTCCAAAAACTCCTTTCAGCATTAAAGAACAATGACTTGCTTCCATAATCAATAGTTGTACCTACGAAGATGCTTCAACAGTCGCAAAGTTCTGCTAGTTGTCAATAAAGAAACAACTGCCAAGGATTGTGTGTATGTATGTAATAATGGATATAAAAGAGAAAGCCTGGGTGTTGTCAGTTCCTTGAGAGACGGGCCATGCATTTCACATTATTAGGCAACGGTAGAGATGAGTGAATGCACATCTCACCTTTGCAAAGGCAATCGGCGGCCTACTTATATATCAAGTTAGTGCTCCTATCGTTCCAAACAAGACTAGTATCAATTTACAGACATCGGTGGGATAGAAGGATTGGTGAGCCCGGAGCCAGAGAACGCCCAAACGACTATGCGTGCATTACAAGCCACTCCTAACCACTG